GGGGAATCTGTGAAAAAATAGACAATAAATAAATAAAAGAAAAGAAACGAAAAGAAACTGTGGATATGGGTCGCTCGCCATCGACAACTCCATTGGGACGGAGCTCAAATATGGCCTCCTCAGCTTCACTTCCCATAATCAGTGGCGGTCTCAGCATCTCTACATCGCTCTCCTCCTCCTCCTCCTCCTCCTCCTCCTCCTCCTCCTCCTCCTCCTCCTCCTCCTCCTCCTCCTCCTCCTCCTCCTCCTCCTCCTCCTCCTCCTCCTCCTCCTCCTCCTCCTCCTCCTCCTCCTCCTCCTCCTCCTCCTCCTCCTCCTCCTCCTCCTCCTCCTCCTCCTCCTCCTCCTCCTCCTCCTCCTCCTCCTCCTCTATCAATCACTCTTCAACAGTCTTCAAGTAAGTTCAATCCCAATCCCTGAATACCCATTTCTTCTATTTATTATCCTTTTTGAGGATTTGTGTGTTCTCTTCACTTTGTGGATGGTTGTCCAGAAAAGAAAAGAAAATGAATTATGGGTCTTTTTTTTTTTCTCCTTTTTTTTCCTTCTTAATTTTGCAGAAGCTGTATTGTGTTTTTCTTTGGTATTATGTTTTGCTGTGCTTGGTATTGGGGAAAGTGAACTGGTTGCAGCACAATATAATTGTTGGTTTCTTCTCTCTTGATACAATTGAATTTGTAGTTAATTTCAGTCCTTTCCAAGAATCATGGTTCCCAGAAAATAGGATAATGATTGTGTTTTTCAACTAATATAATGGTTAATATTTTTGGATCATGGATTTGAGTACGGATTTGGAAAGGGAGGGGAAAAAGGTAGGTGAAATGTATCCATATTTTATTCATATTTCACTCGCCTTTTTCTTTTCCATTTCCAAATCCCTACCCAAACACAGCCTGTTTTACGTCAATGATTCAAAATTTTCTAAAATTACTGGAGGAACATGTTTCTTTTAAAATTTTGCTTGAATGACATGAGTGCATCTTTATTTACCTTGGATGATTCTTTCAGTTCATTGGACTTTTCAAGTTCATACCTATGCAATTTGAAAACTATATTCAGAGACAACCAGTTGTACATAAACTGGAGTGCTAAACAACATTATTGAATTCTCATTTGGGATCTTTACTTATCCTATAAAAATTAAGGGGAAAGAAGAAAAACAAATGCCCAACACACACATGAGAGAGAGAGAGAGAGAACTTCTTGTTTCCCGATAAGGGTATCAGCTTTGGTTTGTGATTTGATTTCCGTAGGTATCAAAAGACTTAATATCAAGAGAGAGCCATAATAAGGCTTGAAACAATAATGATTGGTTTAAATCCCTTTTTCTTGACTGTTCTGTGTGGAGAAAATTTTTGATTGAAGCAGACTATCTATTTCAGTAGTTTCCTTTCCATGTCATTTTGGGCTTTGTTAGTCTTAGTCACCTAATTAACTTAACTCTCCACTTATATATCCCTGGCCCACATCATATTGGGTCCTATAAATGTACGAGCACCCATGTCAAACACGTAACACTTGGATAAAAGTATGAGAATTGTGTCTGACAAACTTAATTGGTTGTGCCTTCAACGTCAACATGTTTCTTCTAATAATTCAATGTCCATATATAAATGTGGACCTAACTCCTTTATGTTACTTTTTGTCATGTTTGCTTAAAAAATGACTATGTTCTATAAATGTGCCATTTAGACCTCAAAAATAGAAGAAGAATGTTAAGAAATTCAAACATTCGACGATGTCATGGTATCCTTCAACTTGGGCATTAGATGAATGTATTGCCTAGACATGCCTACACTGAACAACTATGTTACATGGTCTCTTCTAAATTTGTAAGGTACATGTCTAACATTCGACTCTTGAATGTGGGTATGAGATATGTGTTTGTATGTTTAATTAGCCATGCACCCATTGAGTATGACTAGTCAGTCAAGTTTACCATATAAGCATGGATAAGACTCCCATTTTATACATAACAAGCTCTATGTTAGTTTGTAACATGATTTTACCCTAAAAAATTAAACAAAGTATTTAATAAATATGAAATTTAGCCATATTCTAGTGACCTTTGAAAATTAGATGAATTTGACATTTAGACACATACCCATGCTTGATGTCGTTACCTGAGTCCATTAAACATTGTCAAACACCTATGTTGCATGTAATCTTCTAAATTTACGAAGTACCTATGTTAGATATTTGACAGTTGAGTAACAATATGGAATGTGTCTGACATGTGTAGTTGGACATTCACCAAGCAAGGATATTTGACAATTCGAGTTTACCATAAAACTATACATAAATCTACATATTATGCATGGAATGCTCTATGAAAATTTGTGAACACCATTTTACTATACAAAATAAAATAAGAATAGCAAGAAATATAAATATTTTTTTTGTGCCTGTGTCCTAGACGTGGGAATTAAATGAATCGGACACTTAGAAGCCTACCAACACCTAACACCCATATCTAAGACCATGTAACATATCCGGACACACATATCCATCATATTGTACCATGAAATGTTTTCCAAATTAATGAATCATGAGATTCACTTCATTTTTACAATATATAATCATATAAATTTATATCTATAAAATACCCAATATAGCATTTAAAATGAAAAAATAACATAAAAAAAATATTGAAAAATCTCAAATGCCTGTTGATGTCACTGCAATGATATATATGTACGGCTTCTATCGTTGGCCGTTGTTGGTGAGAGGAACCATCAATAAGGACTAAGGAGGTAACCTATGAAGCATGGACACGGAAAAATCGGCGCTGTGGCAGTGTCGGACACGAGGACACACCGGGGACATGCGTGTCCAGATCTGGACACGGCATGAGACATGGTGAGGAGAGAGAGTGTGAAGGAAGAGAGTGAAAAGGCAAACCTTCGACTCCAGTCATCGTCGTCGAACATCCAGTTGACTCGAACCATCAATCTCATCTCGCTCGCGTCGAACCATCAAACCATATCTCGCTCGCGTTGTCTTCTCTCTCTCTCGCGTCTCTGTCTCTGTCTCTGTCTCTCTCTCTCTCTCTCGCCGTCTCTGTCCCTGCTTTCTTTCTTATCTCTTATATATATAAGTATATATAACATAATATATATACTACTTATACATATTAATAAACAAAACACATGTATATAAAATAAATAAAATAAAAAAATTACCAAAAACACATTATTTAAAAAAGGAAATAAATAAATAAACTAATTAACGTATATTAAAATAAAAATATTTATTAAAAAAAAAAATTTGCCGTGTCCCCTGCCCTGTCTGTGTTTCCATTTTTTGGAAATTGCCGTGTCCCGTGTCCGTGTCCGTATCCGTGTCTATGTCCGTGCTTGATAGGCACTGAGTGCACGCCCACACTTTAATGTGAATGTGTTTCTTGCTTGATATTACACTTTTTTTTTTCATGCTCTATCGAACTCTTGCATAATTTATTCGCAAGAACTATCATACATTGACTTGAGTATTTCCTGTCTTTTCCTTTTTTAGTTTTTTTTTTCCCCCATTTAGGTTGGTTAGCCACTTCCATGTAGGTGTTAAATATTTTGGATATTGGCAATATCTTTACTGCATCTATGCTTTAAGATCTGATTTTTTTAAGTCACTAAAATGCTGGGTTTTTATTAATTTTCTTATCTCAACTATTGAAATTCTTCATTATTAGCAAAGAGATTTACGATTATAGAAAATACATTCTTGCTCATGAGTTTCATGTTACACAGTGCTGCCGGGCCACATACAATAATCAACGGCAAAGAAGTTGTGAACTTTGCTTCAGCAAATTACCTTGGATTTGTAGGACATGACAAGTTGATTGTGAGAACCTATTCCTATTTGTTATTTTCCCTTTATTATAGTAGTCTGATTTATGTATCCACTTACAGTGGTTTTGTGTAATAGGAGTCGTGTACTTCTGCACTGGAGAAATACGGTGTTGGCTCTTGTGGTCCTCGTGGATTTTATGGAACAGTTGGTATAACCTGATCTGAACTTGTAATTGTGTAGCTCAGGGCACTAACTAAATTGAAGTTAAAGTATCTTTTTGTCCTTTGCATGTAGCCGTCTAACAATGTTATTTTGCATAGATGTCCACCTTGATTGTGAAGCCAGAATCGCTAAGTTTTTGGGAACACCTGATTGCATACTATATCCTTATGGACTTTCCACCATGTTCAGTGCAATTCCTGCTTTTTGTAAGAAGGGAGACATTATTATTGCGTGAGTATTATCTTAACTCTTCAATTATTGATTTTTATGTGGTATATGGAATAAATCTTTAAAAACTACGAGGAAATTTCTACGAAGATTGTTACTTGAAAACTGCATGACAATTATTGCAACTCCTGAAGGATGTTCGGCTTTGTACAGTGGTTGTCTATATTTTATTTTCATTAGTCTTTGTAAGTACCAATACTTTTATATGAAAAATAATGATATTTTATTGCTTTTATATATTCTCGACTAAATTTACCTGGTGTAATGTGATTGTGAAAAAAGAAAAGAGGGAAAAGGACTGCGTATTAGCTGAATGTTTTCTGTTGATGTAAATATCATCATTTGAGCCTATATCAAGCAGTAGATATTTTATATCATGAGTTTATAATAAGCCATTCTGCTATATAGTAAAGATGCTGATCAATGGTTTCTATGGTTGTGCCATATTGGATCATTCATGATCAATTGCCAATTTCCTTTCTCTTTTTGTCATTTTTGTGCTTTGAGAACCTCTATCAATTTCATTTTGGAAACATTTATGCGTATACATGGTAATATGTTTTATCATATTGGATCATTCACGATCAATTGCCAATTTGCTTTCTCTTTTTGTTGTTTTTGTGCTTTGAGAACCTCTATTAATTTCATTTTGGAAACATTTATGCATATACATGGTAATATGAGTAGTTAATGGCACATTTATTTGAGTCCCTTCAAATTGTCTTTGGTTGGGCTTTTGAAATCTGCATGTATATCAGATTAATTTTTTTCCTCTCTGTTTCTTCTTCTTTTTTTTTCTGTTTTCTTTTCTTTTTTTTTTTTTTTTTCAACAACCTTTATTGATAAATAAGTCGTACATTTTTTTTTTTTTTTTTTTTTTTTTTTTTCCCTTTTGATTAATTCATTATTTTTTTGGGGCTGGGGGTGTTGGGGGTGGGAATCTTTCAGGGATGAGGGTGTCCACTGGGGAATACAAAATGGCCTATATCTTTCCAGAAGTACAATAGTGTATTTCAAACACAATGACATGGAGTCTCTACAAAGTACTCTAGAGAAAGTTACTCTACAAAATAAGCGAGCTAAGAAGCTAAGGCGCTATATTGTGGTTGAAGCTGTGTACCAGGTATCTTTTAGCAATAATGCTTTAATTTTACTATGTTGATAACATATCTTGTAGTTTTCATCAAAGTAGTGTTGAATATTTAGGTCTCTCTCTTTCTCTCTCATAATCAGCACTGAAAATTTCTTATGATTTTCCAATAATGTACAGTACATCGAAGTGTTCATCCATATTTGTGTACTGGAGAAGAAATCCAATTTTCATGCAAATGATGAGTTTGCAAATGTGTGCTGCACTGAGGAGATGATGGAAGACAACTTGAAAACTCGGGGTGATGCTGTTTAGGAAATGCTGGATGATGGGCTAATGTAATGGACAGCTTCTAGGTTTATAGTTGTAAAAAGTGAAGTTTGTAGGCTTAGAGCTTGAACAGGTAAAGACTAGATACTTAATTGACATGAAATTTGGCAAAACAACCAATTAGGATTTGTTATGTTGAAGTTAAGGTGGGAAGGCTAGAATGTCCTAAGGTTAAGGAAGCTTGTGTATAAGTTGGAAAAGTTAAAGAACAAAGGGCTGGTTGTGATTTAATGCTAAGGTTCTGTAATTGCATGGTTAAAAGGAGGAGAAGATGAATCTTTCAGTAAGCGTGTTCATGAACACCTTGGGCATCATAACTAGGCATAGAGCTTCAATAGCTATTTAGAAAGATTCTCTAAACTGCTCTATTGATATCAAAGATCATAGAAATAACCTTTGGCTGCAGACCGTGTCCTATCCCTTCTTAAACTATGACTTAGTCCTTAGAAGAAGATGATCTTTCCCCTATAAAGTAGCATAATACAAGGGAAAGATCAAATTCCACAATTTCAATTATTTTTTGATATATCTCTAGCCATGTTCAAGTGATCAAGCCTGTTGTAATCCTTCAGTGTTTCAAGGAGCATTTTCTTGCCTCTCCTATGGATGAATAGTGAGAGTAGCTCCAACTTCAGGATGTATTATGGGAGATCTCCCTCCACTTTTAATATTATCTGCCATTATTCACTTACTTCCGGTTGCCATAATATTGATTTAGTTGTGGTGCTAAACTGATGCTAGTCAACTTTTGGAAAGTCAAAAATGTTATCCGTGAATAGAGTTATATATGGTAGACTTAGTTGATGCATAGCTTGTTGGTTTGGGGCCTAATGGTTTGAAGAGAAATTTAAGGCTTTAGAGATGGATAAAGCATAGAGCATTGGATGGGCTTGGATTGAAGGTGATAAAGTATCAGCCTTCAAAAAAGGGATGAATTACAGAGGTAAGCCCACCAAACTATCAGAAGAAATCCAAGGGCAGCTTTTTATCTCAAGCCTTCAAGTTTTTATATGACACCCTTGACCAAATAAAAGATATGGAAATACAAATAAAGCTGAAGGAAACATAAGAACTTGTAACAATGAAAACAATAGGCAACAGGATTTCTTTAAGGTGGATCCCTTGGCAGCACCCTTGTAGGTCATACACTGATGGCTTCTTCCGTTTTTTAATTTTGTTGTGCAGTGGGCCACTTAATTTTGCCTATTTTTTCTATACCCAAGAGAGAGAGAGAGAGAGCTCTTCAAATTTTCTGCCATTGCATTTTTACTTCCATCCATTCACGTACATTGTTATGTTCGACTAACTGCTCTTATTTACTCAATTTCCTTTCTTTAATTGCGTTCAAACTTACTGGAGCTCACTAGCCCAATTTTATATCATTTCCTTATGTTCAATCTTCAAGCTAATATGTAGTTTCATCAAATGAGTCGGTTAACTCTTGATGCATACAATTTCTTAAGAAATTGTTTGTTACTTTAATCAACTTGCATTAACAGTTCTTAGGACCTGTAGCAGTTTGCTTGCTTTACTAATACCTTATTATAATGTATACCCTGCATTTCTATCTCCTGTGCCGGATTGGGAAATGTTAGAATGGATTTGGTATTACTCATTCAAGGAGTATAACATTTAATTCAAAGTAATATTTTAGTAATGGATTTCAAGAATGGATTTGAGAGTTTACATTAATGGATTTCAAATAACTAGGTGAACATAGTTATTTGAAATTCTTAGATGAATGATTTTACTTGTAGGTTGAGTGGTCCATCGAATTTAGGCAGGGTGGCTTAAGTGGAGGAGTGCGTCTGAGGTATTGTGTGATAAACGAGTACCTACTAGACTAAAAGGAAAGTTCTATAGAGCGGCTATTAGATCAACAATGTTGTATGGGATAGAATGTTGGGCAACTAAGAAACAACATGTAGATAAGATGAGTGTTGTCGAGATGGGGATGCTAAGATGGATGTGTGACAAAACTAGAAAAGACAGAATTAGAAATGAGTATATTCGTGAATGGATAGGAGTAGCATTAATAGAAAATAACTTGAGAGAAAATAGATTGAGATGGTTTGGTTATATACAATGGAGATCAACAGAGGCAATAGTGAATAGATGTAATATAGTGACAGTAGATGGAAGTGTTAGGGGAAAGGGCGGACCTAGATTGACATGGCTAGTGTAGTAAATAGAGATATGAATCTCATTAATTTGACTAATCAGATGGCCGTTGATAGAGTCGAGTGGAGAAAAAGGATTCATGTAGCCAACCTCATTTGATGGGACTTAAGGCTTTTGGGTTTGATTTGGTTTGGTTAATGATTCTACTTGTACAGAAATATCAACAAAATGCATCTTTCCCATCTCTATGCATCATTTACTTTAGAATTATCAATCTACATCCAATAATCAACCTTCCTACAATTTTATAAAGTTGAAAGTCAAATCCCTTATTTCAAATCCATGTATCCAAACGGAGCCTTACTGTTTTGACATATTTCTTCAATCTGCAGAATTCAGGTCAAATTGCTCCATTAGATGAGATCATCCGACTGAAGGAGAAATATCATTTCCGTGTCTTATTGGATGAGAGCAACTCTTTTGGTGTGCTTGGCAGTTCCGGAAGAGGTATCACTGAGCACTATGGGGTTCCGGTATGTTTTGAAGATATTTCAGATTTAATCAGTTCATTAATTCTCAATTTGTGGTTTTATGATGGTGTTGGTACTTGGTTGTGTAGATTGAGAAGATAGATATCATAACTGCTGCCATGGGACATGCATTGGCCACGGAAGGAGGATTCTGTGTTGGAAGCGTCAGAATCACTGATCATCAAGTATGGAAGTACTACCACTTGAAAAAGGGAACCTTGTTTTGGAAGAATTTTTAAATTTTTATAATCAGATTTCCTTTTCTATATAGTTATTTATTTACTGGTTAATATTAATGCTCATTTTTCCTAGTTTTCTATTCTTAATTGTTGATGATATGCTATGTTTTTGCAGCGTCTCAGCAGTTCTGGTTATGTCTTCTCTGCTTCCTTGCCTCCATATCTTCCGGCTGCTGCTATTACTGCTATTGATGTTCTAGTGGAAAAACCTGATCTTATTACGAAACTGAACAAAAATATTGCCGTACTATGCAAAGGTTTGTTTTATATTCTTCACTCTCTTTTAGTCTACATCCAAGCGCTAGGTACTCGTTGGGGATATGGTTGAGGTGCCAACTAAGTGGTTTCCTAGTTATTTATTTTCCTCAACTTCAGACCACGTATCATGTGCCTTAGGCGCTGCCTTGTGATCATCCCAAAGTAACTGGCAAAATCTTGTAGCTCCATGGGCATCAGATGAGTCAGTATATAAGAAGCATGGAAATTTCCAAGAAGGTTACATGTTGTATCGAACACTGAACGACATGACACTCATGGTACACTTCTTGACCCTTGTTGGACACAGCTCGAAACGTGTCCCAATAGTTTTTAAAAGATTTCTTAACTCGGACACACTTTAGATACTTGGGGAGTATGTCTATCTCTTAGACACATGAAATACATTACTAGTTTGAATAAAATAACTTGGAATTCAATGATAAAAGAAAAACAATGTAAATTTATACATATTCTTTTCCTTTATAGTGTTGCATTGCATTTTGTTGTTGTCTTTGAATTAAATTTTCATATACATAGCATATAATAAATGCTTATCCTTACATATGACATAATAAATATATAAAACTACAAAAATTGTCTGTGTGGTTTTCATTTCCATGCTTCATAGGTCAGTATCACTGTCATATAGACCTATTGTTGACTGCATGGACTTCTTTGTCTGGTTGCACATGTGATGCTTAGAGGTTATGTAAGCAAACTACTTGTACCTAGAGAAAGCATAAGAAAAATGTTAGGTGTTCATGATACTAACTCTCCTTCATCCTACATCTTTGCTAGCTCTTCAAGTGTTGCTGAAGGTTTTGGTTACCAATTTAGGGCTATGCTTTCACCTTTCAATGAAACTAGAACAACAGAAGTATTGGGCATGTTTTGTTATGTTTTTGTTTTCTTTATTTTTTATTTTTTGTGTTTTTAGAAACAAAAAACAATTTCGTAATTTTTTTTTTTTTTTTTTCCTTGTTTTGGGAAAACATTTGTGGAAATTTGAAAACTTCTTGGGGTTTCCAAAAATGTGGGTTGTTTTCAGAAATTTTTCACGAAAGTTTTCAGAAACAGTTCGCCAAAAAAATGAAAATAGAAAATAAAAGACAAACACAACCGAACATGATGATTGTTTCAATCTGGTTGGTCTTAGCCATTTGTCTCTTATATGGGCAATTGCAGGATTGTCAGATATACGTGGCCTTCAGCTTGTGAGTGATGTGAAATCCCCAATTGTTTTCCTCAGACTTAAGAACTCCACAGGATCCTTAATGTGCGATTCACAATTGCTTGAACAAATTGCTGAACAGGTAAGCCTGTTCGCAGATTTATTTAGCTCATGCTTTTTGGCAAGGCAATAAATATTGGTTAATACCCAACCTAAAAATCATTGATAATGAATGATAATATGGAACGATTTGTGTGAGTTGGAAAATAGGGCATTTGACTCATTTTTGTGATATCACAGTTGGAGGAAATGAGTTTTGCCAATGTGTGAGTTGGGTTATGACCAAGTTTTGAGAATGAAAGTTGCATTGAGAAACGATTTTCATTAGGGATAATTACCAGCAGGTTCTATTGACTGGACTTAAATACTCAAAAGTCTTGAGTAAATTTGTTTTTACATATTTGCCCCTCGTTTTGATAATGAGAAAATTGTGAGACTTTTTAGTTGTGTTTTGTGTTTGTGGATGTAATGATACTGAGAGTTCATCCAAAGTGATAAATAATTGGGACATTTTGACTTTTGTTTGTGAGTTTTGATTTATTTTTAGATAATGTTTGTCGGTTTGTATTGAAATATAAATGTGAGAGGTGTAAGTAGTTGAATTATATTTTTTAAAAAATATTTCTACACTGATAAATTTATCACTGGAAGTTAGAGTAGGACTTTTTGATAAATAAGTCTAGTCCACAGAACCTGCTCATAACTGTCCCATTTTATTATGCTATACAATTTATTATGTATATTGTATAGCATCATGATCGTGTGCTTACACAATCTCAAAGTCGCAATGCTTGTGCACTTGCAGGTATTGAAAGAAGACTTGGTTTTTGTAGTGACTTCCAAAAGATCAACACTAGATAAGTGCCGTCTACCTGTGGGAATCAGATTATTTGTCTCAGCTGCTCATTCTGAATCTGATCTGCGCAAGGCCTCTGAATCAATGAAGAGAGTTGCAGCAGCGGTTTTGGCAGCTCGTGATTGAATTGAAGAGTGCAGATCAGATCTCATTTTATTTTTCCAATAATCTTTCAGTTTGACCGCGTCAACCAAAAAAACCCAAGTTTTGTTTCTTGGTAGATGCTTTTATAATAACTTTTGTGCCAATCTGTTTTATAATAACTTTCAACTTACCACTAGGCATTTATTTCATCTTGGAATTGAAATATTTTTTCATATTGAGAAGTGCTAATTGATCCAATATTATATTTTGCAAAAGCAATTTAACAATAGTCTAAGGCATGATTTCTACGAGGACTAAAGATCTGGATAGAGAATGCAAAGTTTCAGTTGGGGCTGTGTTTGTAGAAAATACAATAAGTTTTTCATTTTTAATATAATTATAGGATTCTCTTCAGCTGTGTTTGAATCATTACATTAAGCTTTTAATACTTGTGACATTTATTTTCAATTTTCATTGATAATTTGTTAGTTATATGGATAAAAATTGATGTTATCATTTCTTTAATATTAAATATGTATATTTTTTTTGTTTGTCTTGAGTTTTTGCACATTTTCTACGTTAGTTCGGGTTTTTCAAGCCTTAATATAATTATGTTAAAATTATAAGATTTATTCTGTTTTCTCTAAACCTTATGAAAAGTAGTGTAACTTAACCTTGCTCTAAATACTAAATATTTATAATTTCTTGATTTGGTGAGAGATTAAACAAATACAAAATATAATAATTTCTTGTTGTCTGACTTAGACAAGAGGTATATTTTTGTATGTTTATGTCTAATTTTATTTTATGTTTTTTGAGAACCTTATGGCCATGTTTGTTTGGGCGGACTGAATCAGTATTCTCATGACTAATAGTTCTAGGATTATGAATCTGTTGGATTATGTATCCTATCTTAACTAATAGTCAAGTTTAAAATAATTAGTCCGTACTTCAATTGTTTAACCAAACATCGGATTAATAATTTTATTGGACTATTAGTCCAATCCAAAGCTCATGTCCACCCAAACAAACATAATCTATATGTCTAATTCATTTGTCTTTGGTATTTCCAATTCTTTTTTTTACCTTCATCCTATCAATGAATTCTTCCCATTGTTGTAGTTCATAAAGAATATACGGTAACGAAGTTCTAAATATAAATATGAATTAGTTCAAGCAATTACCTAAATTAATAATGATCCAAAGTTCTCTTGGATAGCTAGCTTATGTAATGATCCAAAGTTCTCTTCAATAGTTAATTGATGTTAAACAAACAACTAGCTACCCAAGGGAAATTTGGATCATGTTTAATTGATGTAATTGTTTGAACTAGCTATCTACTCCAAATTTGTTAATTTTGTACCAGACAATATACCATTTTTTAGTACCGGTATGTTTGAACAACTTTGAATGGTCATATTATATGCTTAAATTATTTACTACTAGACAATATTTTTAACACAAACATCATTTTTTTTGCGATAAATCCGACACTCTATTTTCATCATGGTGAAGGCAACTGCATAGAATTAAAAAGGAGATAAAACCAGTGAATGAACAAAATGAGGAAGCACCATGACCTAACCAAAAAAAAAAAAGAATTTGAAAAGAGAGCTATAACTTTTAATTACACTAGTCCTGTCTTATGGTATTATGTTTCATAATCACTGTACTCGAACACAAAATGGAGTGTCTTATCAAGTTAACAATGAAAAAACTAGGTCATTTTTTTTATTGATTTTTTTTATTTTATTTTCTTCTTTATTATCCTAACTTGACTTCCACAAACAAAGTAACCATTTTTTAGTACCGGTATGCTTGTAGATACCATTTCAGATTTATCGCAAAAATATTATGTATGTATTAAAAATATTGTCTAGTAGTGAATAATTTAAACATATAATAATACAACTATTCAAAGTTGTATTGTTTTATTTTCTTAAGGTAACAATGTATATCATATAATATATTTGATAATATATATGGATTATATATATAATAAAATAAAAAAATTCAGAAATTTACTTTTGCATGCGTACCGTTTAATTCCACCGAAATTACATTTTCCGGCCGGTATTGTCCAATATTTACAAAATTGACCAGTACTCACTAAGAAATTAATCATAATGATATTGGCCTATTTGTATTATGTTTTCTCTCTAGTACGGTATGAGATTGACAACTATGAATCTGGAAGCGATTATGGAAGTGGAAAATACCCCTTAAATGGCCTACTTTCTTATGGAAATGTCTTCATAATGTTCTTCCTGTTCGAAGGAGCTTGAAAAAAAAAAAAGGGGGAATGAGGATTATTTCCCAGTGCCCCCCCGTAGCGCATCTGATATTCAAGCCTTAGAACATGTTTTTTTTCACTTGTCCAGCTTCTAATAGAATTTTGAGAGAGACCTCGTCGGGCTTATATTTCTCGCAAGGCACGCCTATGAGCTTTGATTGTTGGTTCTCAAGGTGGACAACTCAGGTTGAAGATGAGGAGACAATAATACAGTCAATTGCTGTACTTGGAGCTATTTGGCACCAAAGGAATCAAGCGGCATTTAAGGGCCAATACCTTTCAATCGACCAAACCATTACATTTGCAAATGAATGCTTTTGAAGTGCTATTCATAATCCCCTTTTCGGTACTCTCATTCATGATTGCCATGTGCAGGAAACCATTTCAAGCACAGATAATGGCTGCATATTGTCTAATTCTTTAGCTAACAGTTGGCATTTCCAAATTTGGACCATGGTGATTGATGGATCACGGAGGAAAGCTAACCAGCAAGTCGGTTGTGCATGGGTCTGCTATGATAAATCAGTGTCAAGTGAACCAACAAGCTGCCTTCTTATACCTACCATCACCAAATGCTGCAAAAGCAAGAACTTGTTTGGAAGTTGTTCAATGAGATGTGCAAATGAGTCTTACCTTTTCTATCCATCTTTACAGATAGCCAAATGCTGGTGGATACTCTTGGAGGGGCATCTTAAGCCTGACTGGATGATGGACAGTGTCATAACTGATATTAAATCTTCAAGTAAGTGTTTAGTTTCTTAGCACTATCTAAAGTCTATCGATCTGTAATTAATCCAGCTCACACACTAGCTTGGCTTGTAAACAATTTCAAGAATTAATGGATATTTGCTTATTCTCAAAAAATAAAAATAAAAATAAAAATAATTAGAACTTTGTTAACATATATTCTTAAAACACGTGTAAAAAAAATATGCGTTTTGTTTAAAAATAAGTGTAATTAATAATGTATAATTTTTAAAAAATTTCTTAGTATGGGGAACCTATCATAACATTACATTACTTCTATTTCAATTTTTAAAATTTTATTATTACATGACAAATCAGTGAATAAATTTTTAATAAAACTTATTAGTTTATATAACATTTTTTTTAAAAATTCTTTTGAGCCTATCATTATTCGATTGAGTATTCAATTTTTTTTTTATAAATAAAACTAATTTGATGAAAAATAGAAAATAATCATAAATTTATATGAATTTTTTTAAAGAAAATAATTTTTAAAGATATTTTTGAAGAATTATTTTTGACAAACTAATTAAATTTATTTGAGAAAAAAAATTAAAAAAGAGATTCTCAAAATTCTACTAAACGGGGTGAATTACATTTCTATTCCTAATCATAACCCAACAGAGCACCAAATTGAGACATCTCCCCAAAGTACACAATAGAGGGCTAAAAATTAGAGATGAAGCAAATGCAAAGCCTCTGGACTTAAATGGGGTATTATTGAATTTGACAAAGTTCACTTCAAGATTTTTATTCATCTGAGCAAAAACAAATTTTGAAGCTGTTTGAGCACCGCGATTCAACAAATTGCACGTGTACAGTGCGGATATTAGATGTAATTAGAAGTAGGCACATATTGCCATAGTTATCTAAAAGATTTGGATTTGAAACAATCAAATTTGATGACGACCATTTTTTGAAGCACTTGGATAATAGTTACATGAAAAGGTATTTTAAGAAGAAAAAAACACACCTACCACATCCACACTAACTCGAGAGTGATCTAAACTTACAACCATTTCAGTCATAAAATCATACCGAGGGTACACTAATTCATCATTCATGCAACTATAGTTACCTGCTCAAGCGGTCCTGAATTTGCCTTCCTATTTGCAGTGATTATGTGAATTCCTCTGCGCAACCAGCCATGGTAATGGCATGCGACACCAGAGTGCCGTACAGTCTACCAAAACAGTAATAGGAATAAAATGATTTCCGCTCACATTTTGAACAAAATTTCTCCAGGTCAGCCACTTCTCCCTCCACCTTTTGAAGATCTCTCCATAACCGGAGATGAAAATGTTTAGGGGTCATAATCCTTGGCAGAGAATTCTTTTCTTCTTTAGTGTAAGAATTCTTGAGAGGCTAATAAAGAGAACAAAAAGAAAGGTAAACTGAAATCAAAAAGAGAACAAAAAGCTCTAGCATATAAAGAGAACAAAAAGCAAGTTGAAACTGCCAACCAAAACAATATTGAATTTGCTCAAAAAAGAAAGGTAAACTGAAATCATGATAATTATATACAACTATACCTAACTAAAACAAGTAACAATAATCATCAATCGTTAACAACATATAACGTGAATCAAAAACTTGTTGCCATGGAAGAAATCTCGTTTAAGTGAATGTTCCTGTCAACTTATTCTTGGAAATGAGCTCTAAAAAAATCTTCCCAAATTTCTGGTTTGGCAAATCTCCTCTGCATTTTAGGAACTAGGAACATGTGGAAGTGTTCCATCCCTAAGGCTGTGTTTGGTTCATGGATTTGAGAAGGGATTTAGAAATGAAAATAAGAAAAGTGTGTGAAATGTAGCACCTTTTTCCTTTCTATTTCCAAATCCCTCTCCAAATCTATGAACCAAACACAGCCTAAAAGTATTTACAATAGCTTCAGTATCATCTCCACCAGTAGGACAGCTACGTCCTCTAGGTTATAACTCTGCAGTTTAGGCCAATTTGTGAGGAGGTGGTCAGTGCACAATAACCCTCGGTTAACAAGTGCCTCCTCACCCCAAAACTACCTTATGGTTAAGAATTCCATCTTTCCTGAAGTATCCATTTGTTGAGTAATTGATGAAACCTGGACCCAAATGTTTTCAAATTTTTTAGACTCATTTTAGCTCAGTAGTTTCAACCTACCTCAGTTGCTTTTCTCTTGAACAGCACAATCTTTGTGGCTTTGAAGACTTGAGCTAAAGAGAATATAATCATTCAATATCAGTTTGCAATGGCTTCGCTAGGGCATCGCCATCCATTGTAACATCTCATACAGAGACCTTGGTCATCATCCTGAACCCAACAGACAACAGAGTCATCCTCAACAAAATATGCCAATTTGTCATCTATTTAAATATTTGTTTTGATAAGTAATTGTCTATTTAAATTATAAAATTGTATTTCCTACCTTAGTTTTTTTTTTTTGATCAGCAACAAACAAAAAAATTTATTAAGGCACAAGGCCAAGAAAAAAGAGGATAAGGCATCCTCTACAAGGAAGACAGAAAACAAAAACCAAAACTTAACAAAAGAAAATATAAAAAGATGAAACAAACTAAAACTACACAGTACAAACTGACACCCAGTCTGCCGCAATCAAAAAAAGTGGAATCCCTCGGAATATCGAGCTCGCTGAGGCCCAAAAAGACACCAAATATCTCACCCTATCCCATAAATAGTCTATATCCCGGACAACTCCTTCAAAAGCATGCGCATTTCTTTCCATCCAAACGACCCAAAAGATTGCAGAGATGACTCTACTCCAAAGCACCTTAGCCCTCTTCGACCTTCCAAAAGTTTGAAAATCAAATAATAGCATTTGAGCACATCCTTTTGGGGCCACCCACACCACATTACCCAAACCAAACACCATATGCCACAACTGCCTAGCCACCGAGCAGTGCAAAAAGAGATGATCCAAAGACTCTCCACTCTTACAACACATAATGCACCATTGAGGATTAAGATATCGCAAGGGTCTCCTCCTTTGCAATGAATCATTTGTCAAAGTGCCCCCACGAACCAAGATCCACATGCCTTCCAAATCTTTTTATGAAATAGAAATTGAGGTACATGAGATGAATCAATAATTTTATCAATAAAAGATTTACAAGTAAAAGAACTCGAAGAATGGATATTCCAAACCAACCTATCCTGCAATAATGGAACCAAAGAAACATTTTCAAGTCTTGACAAAAGAGATACCAATTCCGGAACTTCCCTATCATGAAGATTCCGGCGGGAATTAAAATTCCAAGAAAAAGGAGCCACCAAAGAACCCGCCACAGACACAACAGAAACATAATGAGATTGAGAAACCCTATACAATAGTGGATAGATCTCCGCCAAAGACGAGGAACCCACCCAAACATCCTCCCAGAAATTGACCTTTTTCCCATTACCCACCCTCACAGAAATGAATTGGGACCAAACAGGATAAATCTGGGAAACGGACTTCCAAGGAGCACGCCCGCTACCTCTCGAAACCACCTAAGAATCCCTACCATTAACCTGAATCCCATATTTACTTTTAATAACCGCATGCCATAATGAATCACACTCAGCGAGAAATCTCCACAACCACTTGCCCAGCAAAGCGGTGTTTCTAGCCACTATATTACTAATGGCCAAACCACCCTTTTCCTTGCATAAGGACACCGTTTCCCACTTCACCAAATGATCCTTCCATCCTTCATCTTTCCCTTCCCAAAGGAAATCCCTAAATAATTTCTCTATAAATTTTGCTACATTGACTGGAATCTTAAACACAGACATGAAATAAATTGAAATTCCGCTTAGCACTGTTTTAACCAACGTGTACCTGCCTCCCCGAGATAGTAAAGCCCTTCTCCATCCTTTTAACCACTTCCCTATCTTTTCCACAACCGGATCCCAAAACACCTCACCCCTTGGATTACCTCCCAGCGGGAGCCCCAGATACTTCATCGGAAATATCTCTATACCACACCCTAGTAACTCAGCCACTCTCTAAATCAAACTTGAATCCACATTAATACCCGCTACCCTACTTTTTTCTAAATTTATCCTAAGACCAGATAGTACCCCAAAAAGCCTTATCACCGAATAGAGATTAACCATATGGCTCTCGTCTCCCTCAGAGAAAAAAATAGTGTCATCTGCAAATTGCAAATGTGTCACACTAACCTTATCTCTGCCAACCTGAACACCATCAAAAAGACCTACCTCTTTAGCCCTATCCACCAGCCTTCCTAACACATCTGCTACCAAAATGAAGAGAAAGGGGGATAAAGGATCACCCTGTCTCAACCCTCGAGATGCCTTAAAACTTTGCCCAGATTTACCATTGACTATTACCGACATATTGCAAGACGCCAAACATCCTCTAATCCAAGACCTCCATCTCTCCCCATACCCCTTTCTGTCCATCACAAAATCTAAAAAATTCCAATCCACATGATCGTATGCTTTCTCAAAATCTGCCTTAAACACAATACCTCTCTTTCCTGCCTTCCTACACTCCTCGACCACCTCATTAGCCACCAGAACCATATCTAGAATCTGTCTGCCTTTCACGAAAGCCCCCTGAGTCGTAGAAATTGTATCCCCTAAAGAGGCCCTCAACCTTTTTGACAAAACCTTCCCCAGAATCTTGTAAAGTGATGTCACCAAACTAATTGGTCTACAATCCCCAATTCTGATGGCTCCTTCCCTTTTAGGAATCAAACAGATAAATGTGGCATTTGCACATAAATTGACCACCCCTGTCTCATAAAATTCCATAAAAACTCTCACCAAATCCCCCTTCACCACTTCCCAACAATCTTGGAATACAGCCATGGAGAACCCATCCGGTCCAGGAGCCTTGTCCCTTTCACACTCAAAAACTGCCTCCCTAATTTCCAACTCCTCAAAAGGTCTTTCCAACCAAGTCGCACTTTCCTGATCAATAGGCTTCCACTCTAGCCCCTCTATCCCAGGCCTGACTAACCCATCCTCTGAAAATAAATTTGAATAAAACTCAAAAATCCCTTGGACTATTTGCTCCTCTGAGTCCACCACTACCCCTGGCCTTACTTCCAACCTCTTAATAAACTTTTTCTTTCTTTTTCCATCCGCAATCCTATGAAAGAACTTAGAACTAACATCCCCCTCCTTCAGCCACCTCACCTTTGCTTTTTGTGCCCAAAAAATCTGCTCTCTAAGAGACAACTCTTCTAACCTCGCACCTAACTCCCTCCTCTCACTTCTCAATTCCTGAACCTCATTTCCCTGCATTTCCAAAGAATCTATCTCCGCAATTCTACTCATAACTTGAAGTTTCGATGATTACATTTGCAAAATAAAAAAAACTCTAGTGATATGAGTAAAATATGTTTATTAAGCTACGTAATCCAACGTGAACTAGGATACAAATCAAGTGCGTGCTTGTTGAACAGTTTGACCAAAACTTTTATTTTTTCACTTACTAGATTATGTCAACCAACAACATGACTTAAGATGGTCTCCAGTTATACTAAGATCTAATTAATAGTTTTGAAAAAATGAAAACAAAAAGACTTGTTATTTATTTATTTTTCTCTTCATGAAATATTTCTTTCGCATTGCTTATATAAGAAAGGGTAAATTACACTCACCTCTCCTAAGGTTTGGAGAAAATATAGCAAGCCTTACAATTTTCGCATAATTACACCAACTTCCCTTTTAGTAAATCTAAAGGGACTAATGCAAATGATGTAAAGACAAATAAACAACGTAAAATATACATTTTAATGCAAAAGATATGACAATATTATTTGTTCATGTATATAACTAATAAATTACTAACAAAAATGGGCTAAGTTTTATGTGAATTAAAATCTTAAGGGCACTTGATATAACTATGTCAAACTTGTGAACCTTATTATATTTTATCCAAATCTCAAGGCAGGTCAGTTTTATTTACTCTATAAGAAATTACATTTAATCAGTAGTGCATCAAAACTTACTTTTTTTTTTTGGCAGACAACTTGTCCCCCGGACAATTTCAAACTCAATCACACATCCTACAAAGTCTAGCCTACTGAGTCTTGGGAAAAGTCAAATACTATCCTATATAATATGATGAAATAACAGCAAGAAGATTGTTCGAATTTGAACAAAGCTACATAGCCATGGTGGATGAAAAGTTTGGCATTAGTTCAGATGCAAAGGTTCGAAACAACTTCTGCATAACATTTGGAGAAATAAATGTTGAAAAGTTTCGAATTACATCTTTGTTAACATTCTTAACGTAAATTTTACACTAGAATCTCCACAGAAAGAAGCATAGTCATCACAAAATATTCCCAGTATAGTAATTATTTCGACACAATATAAGTGATATTAAATTATACTCCAGAATTGATATCATACAAATACAGGGTTTCTTAAGATACCAACATCAATGAACAAGTGAGTATTTTTTTTTAGATCATTCAATGAGTACACCATCAGCCTGAATTACAAAATCACCCAATAAAAACTGAGGAAGGAAAAGAGAGAATGTCAATGTGCAAATACTTTAGGATTTCAATTTACATAAGTACACATGAAACAAAATAGCTCTATTTCATTGCACTAAAACTAAAGTTATATTGAAGAACCATAAAATAGAAATTTCTTTTGCCTCTCTTTGATAAATGAACAGAAACTCAAAACTATGGCTGATGTTCCTACATTGTACCTCTTTCAAAGAACGATCATTTTCTTACGGCCCCAAAAACCACAACTTGTACAATCACAAACTCCTAAGATTGATTCAGGAAAATGAGGTGCAAAAACAGCATGACGTTGCCACTTTATTAGTCTTTGGATGAAATCAACACCACCCACATCAGCCAAACAAGTCTCTTCACACACTATTATATCCTCATTTCACCAAAAAACCAAGCTTGAATTAACATGATAATCCTAAAGTAGGACCAACACGTCTTCCAGATGAATTCAAACAACTCAAATTTCCTTTATTAAAGAAAGATAATGAATTATCTTTCAAGCCCAAAAACCCCTTCTTTCACGATCACAAACTCACAAGACGATTCAGGCAAATGAGGCGCGAAAACAACATGAATTTGCCGCTTTGTTCGTTTTTGGACAAAACCATCATCATCAACCAAACCAGTCTCTTTGCCTAAAACCTCCTCATTTCTGGACAAGAAGAGCCTTGAATTAACGCAATTGGCCCATGAAAGGCCCAAAGCAGGGCAAATCCGTCTCCCAGATGAATACAAACAAGCCAAATTCCCCACCCTAAGCCCATTCAACCCGTCAGAAGAACCCACAAAATCAACCACCTGGTTTGTAACGACAACAGCAAGACCAAACCTATTGGCATATGACTTCAACTTGGTAGAGATGTTGAAAAAAAGAGAAGATCTGCGCTTAAGATCAGAAGGGTTGTTATCAAATTCGGATCTAAACAGGGCTGCAATGGAATCAATGACAATGAGCTTAATGGGTAAATGGGTATTGGGGGGAGGATTGGATAGCAGAGACTCGATCTTGTTGTGCAAGAGATCGAGCAGTTGGTGTGCGGAGTGAAGAGGGTGGAGGAAAATGCGGTCACAAGGGTCGTGAGAAGAGAAAAGGGTGGGATGAGAGGAGCGAAAGGAATGGGAAAGTTGTTGGAGGCGGCGAAGAGGGAATGGGAATTCGGAGTGGAGGTAGAGAGAGGAGGAGGAGAGGCCGCCGAGGGAGAGGGGGAGCTGGGCGGAGAGGAGGAGTTGAAGGGAGAATTGGGTTTTGCCACAGCCGCTCTCCGACACCAGCTCCGTGATGGAGTTGCAGGGGATGCCGCCGCGGAGGAACCGGTCCAGCACCGTACAGCCCACGCTGCACTTCTGGGTTGTCAGGGCTTCTTCTTGTTGTTTCAGTTGATTTTCAGGTCTCATGAGATAGACACACAGAGACACAGACGTTTGCTTATTTTGAGAGCGAGGGTTAGGAAACATTCAAGTGGAAAACTCCGCTGAAATTTTCAAATAGCTGGGCTTAAACTTTTGAAGCCATATCCTTTTTTTAAAAATTTTTTTTTTTAATAAATAAAAATAAAGTTAGGAACATAAACAAATTAGGCCTAAGTTGAAGTAAACCTTATATTGAAATTACAAGTCAAATATAAAAGTTAACTGCTATCATGTTACCTAATTGGATGGGATGTTTGTTGTTCGAGTAAGAGTAGAAGTCGATGCAAGTTAAGATGAAAATGATTGCCCCTAGTAGATCTCTGTTGTGACGAACAAATTAAGTTAGAAGCACAAATAAATGTAACAACAAGTGTACAATAAATGAATGCATGAATATACGTTGAATTTCACCATTTTTTACTTAGGATGCAACCTACTCTTGCATGACCTCTGATTGTGCCCCTTCTGCAAACACTTAGTACATGTCACATTGATACTCTTCCTTGATGCCTTATGTGGATTTCTTGGCTCATCTGCTTGCTTGTTTCTTAACTTCTTTCCTGCTAATTTCTTTGCTTATGGTGGGTTCAATTTTTGGCCACCTTCCTCATATTCATGTGTGTCTGGAACAGGGTGTATCATGAATGCATAAGTATCCAGGTACCTAGACTTGGTGTAATACTCATGCACATAGTCTTCTAGCTGCTCATGATTGATTTGAATGGCACTAATGGCATGGCTACAATGCAAACCAGACAAATCTCATCTCTTGCAACTGCATCTTCTAGTACTTAGGTCCACTATGTACCTCTTCATAAAATGATCAACCTCAAATTTCAGTTGTCCACACCAGGTTGCAAAGCAATTCCTTGATTCCATCTTCAACTTATCTAGTTTGTCATAAATATTAGGACGTATCTAGCCAATGTATTTCTCCATTCCAGTCTTTTTAATTTTGGATCATTTGCCTCAATTTCCTTTTGATCTATTCGAACGTAGAGATGATTGGTAGCTCTCTAGCCTCCAGAATATAAGAATTGAATGACTCAATCAAATTGTTGACAAGGATGTCACACTTGCTTCTTGAGAAAAAAAATGTGACATTGCCTATATGGCAGGGTCAGTCTCCCTCAACCACTTCATAGTTATCTTCCTATTTCCAATCTTAGGATTAGCTTCTTCAATCTTCTTCATCCATGAATTGAATTCATTCACATTTCCTGTTGATACCGCTTTCCAGAATAGGTCTTTCAACACACAACCACTGTACTTTGCCTTAAAGTTGTTGTACATATGTCTTAGGCAGTATCTATGATCTGTAGTAGGGTATAATTGTCACGACCCAAACCCGCCCCTAAAAATTTGGTTCATGACCGGCCCGTACGTAGGCCTCAAACAGAATTTAGAATAATATTTAAACACATAGGGGGCCTTAAGCGGAAGCAATATCAATAAAAGACAACATCCATTGAGCTTGTGCATACATGATGATTTAATTAGATTCAAGTATTTAAATACATTCCCAGAGTTACACATACAATCACAGAATTTATATAGATCTCACACATACTTGCATAAGACTTAATAATTTATACGACTCTCAACACAAATTAAGGCCTCAACACGGAGGCGTACCCCAAGCAGCTTGGCAGATAAGTAGACCTCAATACCATTCTAGTGTCAATCTCCGATGGTTCACCTACATAAATATACATAAAAACCGAGTGAGCAAGGCTCAGTGAATAATAACAATGTAAGGAGGTGAGTTACATGGGTATAGGTTTAAGGAATGTAAACATGCATATCAAACCATACACAGATCTTATTCATAATCATATTTTAAAACGGCCTCAGACCCACGCGTAACACAGAACAGCCTCAGGCCCATATATAATACAGAGCGGCTATAAGCCCAGATATGATACAAGACGGCTATACGCCCAGATATAATACAGATCGGTTGTAAGCCTACATATAAGACAGAACGGCTGTAAGCCCAGATATAACACAGATCGGCTGTAAGCCTAGATATAACACAGAACGGCTGTAAGCCCAGATATAATACAGATCGGCTTTATACCCAGATGTAATACAGAACGGCTCTAAGCCCACAAATAATACAAAACGGCCTTATAAGCCCAGATATTAACAGATTGGCCTCGGGCCCATCATTAGCAAAACAGAATGATTCTAGATACACAAAGATATCATAGTTACATAATACACATATGTTCCATTTGTTCATCATAAATTCAGATAGTTAACTTGCAGATATTAGAACGTCAGTATTAACTATTAACAGTAAGCAAAACGTACTGCTACAGTACTATGAAACATTTCGTACACGACTATTACTCACAGTGATCGGCTCCCAGTAGTAATGGGGCGATGTCTTCGTCTCGACCTACAAGCACAATGCACAACACATAATATGAGATTATAATCGATCCTTTACTTATTCTCTTTGATCCTTCAATCCATTAGCCATGGTGGTACCAAGCTCATTATTCCTTAATAAGTTATAATCCATGTCTCAGAAAACAGGAGGAATCGATGGGAAATGGTTTTAGGTGAAGAAATGGTACAAAACTAGTTGATAGAAAGTTAGCAGTCGTCACTAATTTGGGCATAACTATTTCTGTATTGTATTTAGAATTTGGGAGTAAGACCACCACCATTGGAAACTAGACTTCCGGGGCTTGATTTTAGGCTCAAGAATCACTCAAAACAGAGTCCGGAGGTAAAAGATATACTTATTCAAAGTTGGCTGAACAGAGCTGTCTCCGGCACGTGCAGAAAATAGGGCCGCACGTGCGGCTCTGGACAGTTTGTAGTCCGAAAATGGCTCTTTTTGCTCCAACACTTGGTTTTTCCATTTTTAAGCTTGGTTCTTAACATCAATCACTCAAAAACATGTAAAATTATCTCATAACATGATAAACTAACATCAATCAAGTATAATTCCATTTTAAACAAATCAATCATTGCCTCAAAAATAGAAATTCAAGTCTCATCTCCTATATAATCAAACTTCTATAATATATACCCCAAAATCATACAAATACATCTTACACATGGTTGATCTTCACACCAAAACTTGGTATTCCGTGAATCATTCTTGAGATTGAACCCAATTCAAGCAAATTTAAGGAAATCAAGATTCAATTTCTTAAGTTTAACTCATTTCATTCATAACCCAACACACTTGTTCATTTACATATTAATTTTCCAAGTCAATCCTTGATTTCATGTAGTAGATGAATTATTTACAAAGATAATAGTTGAAGCCATATACCTTAACTCAATTCCTTGTTTTTCCCTTTAATCTCTTCAATTTTCCAAGCTTCCATGGATGATCTTATTTCCCTCTCTTCTCTCTCTTTCATGGTTCTGTGTCTCTCTCTCTCTTAGATATTTTGTTTGACTTCAAAATGATAAGCTTTCCACTCACATGGCCTATCCATATATGTATATATCACACACTTAAGCTTTTCACAATAAGGAGGGCCAAACACGCCCTTACGAATCACACAAAATCAAATTTCAATTAAACTTCCCAGATGACTGTGAAAATTATGCTGATCATAAAAATGCCCTCTATTCTGATTTCTGAAGCCTCTAAGGCCTTCAATTTACAGTACAAAGTTAACCACCCAAACATACATTAACGAGTCAGACGAATTAACTTTCCAATTAATTTTTCCAATTAGTTCTAAAAATTTCCATTAACATACCCAAGTACTCAATTTCGATTTCTGAACCCATAAAGGTCGGTACTTTCAATTTTAAAGTCGTAATTCAACAGATAATTCCCCAATTCGAACAAATATCATTAAATTAAAATGCATTAACCCACAAGAGCATAAAGGCAATTTCTGATATAGATTTTGGGGTAGTTATAATAATTCTGCAAATGTTTCAACTAACCCCTTCTGTCTATCTAATATAAATGTCCACTCCATCTCTTCAACATCCCAATGTCACTTATCAGTTCCTCAAGAAACCAAGACCAAGAGGCTTTACATTCAATCTCAACCAAAGCCACAACAATAGGATACATGTTGTCATTTCCATCTCTCCCAATAGCACTGAGTAACTAGCCTTCAAAAATCCCTTTTAAATGACAACCATCCAGTTCTATTATTGGTCTACGCCTTGCTAGAAATCCATCTTTCTGTGCACCCAGTCTGAAATACATCCTTTGAAATGTAGGCTCTGTCTTTTTAGGATCAGTTGTTATTGAAATGTGACTTGATGGATTTTGTCTCAGAACTATAGCTGCATAATCTCTAATCCTGTGATATGGCTCTACCAAATCCCCTACAATGACCTCCCTTGCCGTTCTCTTTGCCCTATAAATTTGAAACCTACTTGCATGCACCATTATCTCTGTCCTTGCTTTTTTCTTGAAAGAAGCTATGTTAATGTCAGGATCATCTCTTACCTCATTTACAAACTTCTTCCCCAAATACTTAGAGTTGGCTTGTTTGTTATTGTAATGTCTCTCACATGTATGTTTTTCCTCTAGAGTTTTGATCTAAAAGGTTGTGGTTCCCCCCAATAGAGGGGCATGCGTCCTCCAACTACAATTATGCCTACAAACAGTAGTGATCCTAGCACTCTCATTTCCAACGTACCTCATATCATGACCATTGATTACATTGAACTCCCTCAAATACTCTCCAAAAACTTGGGGACTAGGAAACTTCATTACAAGTTTAGGATCCTTAATCATCACTTCTTTGTATTTAGGGTATCCATCATCTTCCTCATCTAACGACCCTTTCAGACTAATTAGTTCATCATCATTATCAGGATCTAAATACCAACCAGCATCATATGCCTGATTAACTATGGGTGGTGGTCTTTCTATTTTTCTGTGTGAGGTTTCATCAAATATGTCATCATTGTGACCCTCTAGGCCTTCATACAACCAACTTTGATCATCACTTTCCTCTACAATATCCTCAAAAGTTTCAGTATTACTATATTCTTCACTAACTATATAGTCCAAGTCCTTAGAATCATCACTGTAAGTTCTCTCCTTATTAGCCAAAAAAACATTCTCACTCTGTGCAATGTCACTCTCATCTGCCTGATTACCTTCTACAAACTCAGTGTCAGTAGTATGTTGCAACCTCTTCTTATGTTGTGTATCATTACCCTCATGCTAACTTGTTATTTAATTCTCCCTAGCCTGATTCTGACTTGAATTCGCCTTACCCATAGATTCTTTACCCACATGCTCGCCTTCATCTGACTCATTCCCAATGTCATCATCAATTATGATCTCAATATCAGATAAGTTTATATCAGTAATGTTTGTGTTAGCACCACCTATGGCAATACCACCCTGTTCTACACCTTCAATCTGCAACACCTTCTTATGTGTACTATTACCTCTCTCTTTTACACCCTGAGTCTGCCCTTGTGCACCATTAGGATCTAACAACAACTCACCATTGGATAACAAAACCACAATACGATTTGCACCATTATCTACATAAACTACTACATAATCCAAAACCTTATAAGCCTACAGCATTTTCATCACATCAACATCACTATAAATTGTTTTCAACCCCCATTTTTAACCGCCCTTAAGACTTGGGCATTGCTGATGGTTTACTTGGTGTTGAAAGTTATGCAGTGCAAAGGTTTGGTTTCTTTGGCAAGGAGAGTCAAATCCCAACCTTACACCTCATTTTGGACCAAAGCTATTTTGAATGGTTTTTAGACCTTAAAACCCTCTTTTCAAAATATTTTTGAAATAAGGTTCCTACGATGTTCCAAGGCTCGCATTTCGTTAAATATTGCGCTTTTTGGTAAACCGAGCAAGGACAAAGTAGAAATGAATGAAAGAGAGATGAAATCTTTGAAAAATATTCAAAACACCTTGTTTAGGGATTTGGAGTTGAAGAAAATGACAGAGGAGAGAAGAAAACTAGTTTGGGAGAAGTTCGGCATAAATCCGGGGAGGATCGAAACTAAGCGGCTTCACCAAAACAGGAATAACTTTTTGCACAGTTGGAATTTTGATGCAAGGCTACCACCATTAGAAATCTTACTTCCGGGGCTTCAATTTGGACACAAGAATGACCTGAAAAGGAGTCCAGATGAAAGAGTTATGGCCATTTGAAGTTAGACCTAGAAAGCAGAATTTTCCAGCCGACCAGAAAAATGGGCTGCCGACCAGAAAAGTATCCAGTCGACCCAAAAAGGTGGTCAGTCGACCAGAAAAGTGGTCTGCAGGTCCCAAACTCAGATTTTTTGTAGATCTTTTCGCTCCAACTGTCTTCCACAATCTCCAGCTGTTCCATAAATAGATATTTCGAACCAACTCTTGCTTTTTGCTATATATGAGCCATATCTCCCATTTTGCAAAGGGAGAACATTGAAGCAATTTTGGGAGCCTCTCTCTAAAAAGTTCACTCTCTATAGAAATTCCAGAGCTAAATTTCAGCTTGTTTCTCTAGTTGGCTCTCCATCTTGACCTTGTGTGCATGCAAGAGATCTACTTGGAGATATACATCTCCTTGGCCTAGGCATCCTTGATCAAACTTGTTCACCATTGGGCTGAGATTCCTTGGAGCCTCCTTTGAGTCCTAGAAGTTGGTTTTAGCTCAGAATTTTGGCTATTTTGCAGTTGTGCTTCAAGGGTAAGCATCTCCATCTTTTAAGCTCATTTTTGTACACTATCTTGGCCAACTTTGCATGCTTGTTTTGCCACCCTTTCAAACTATTTTTGGCTTGGTTTTGAACTAAAAAAAAACTCTATTTTTCAGTCCTCAAGGTGGTGGTTTAAGCCTTGTTTGGCTAGGGGGTGTTCCCTCCATTTTGAGCCATCTTTCACCACCTTTCAAACCATCTTTGTTTGGCCTTTTAACCATTGAAATCCAGTGGAATTTCAGTGGTTGGAATTTCAGTGGTAGAAATATGATTTTGAGGCCCCAAATAGGAGGGGGTAGTCCCCCCTCCTCTTCTGTTGTTTGCATGTGTTGATGGCCAACCAAATGAGCATGTGTTTTTACTTCTTTGTGGCTTTGTTTTGGCTCATTTTGTGACTTTTAGGACCTACCATAACTCTGTTTTGGCTTAGTTTAGGCCACCCTTGCATGTTTTATACACTTGTAGTGTAATCCTTGCAAAATAGCCTTGTATGCTTAAGGTTTTAGCTCACCTTTCTAGCATGTTTTGATCCTATCTCAGCATGTTTTTGGTATTTTTTTAGCATGCCTTAGCTCTGTTTTGGTTTGGTTTGTTAGCCCCTTGCATGCTCCTTGCACTTGTAGTGCATTTCCATTCACTAGCCTAACATGCATCATGCTTTTGACCATCATTCTAGCATGTTTTTGGCTCCACTCCAACAAGCTTTTGGCCATGTTTTAGCATGCTCTAGTCTAATTTATGTTGTTTTGGTCATGCATGCCTTGCTTTGTATAGCCATAGTGCATTTTAGCTCACTAGCCTTGAGTTTCCAAGTCACTAGCATGCCTTGCTTGGGCTATTTGCATGATTTGGTATCATTTGATATGTGATTTCAGTACATGTAGTGTGGCCATACACTTGCATATGTCACTATTTCAATGCTTTTGGCGAGTCATGCTTTATGCATTAAGCATGAGCCCATATGTATGCCATCTTGCCTAGGCTTTTGGGCTGCCATATCAATGTGTTTTTGGTGTTATTCATTTTGACATGCCATAACTCTGATTTTTGTTGGTAAAGTCATCTCATGCTTGGTTTTGGTAGGTGTAGTGTAACCTTCATTTTTGGCCTTGTATACTCTATGCTTCATGCCCTTCATGCTAGCATGTGTTAGCTCTAGTTCATACATATTTTAGCCTTGATTTGACATGCCCTAGGACTGTTTTGGGTTGTCTTGGCCATATGGTTCATGTCTTGTACAGCTATAGTGCAAGTGCCTATGCTAGTTTCAAGTTTTGAGCCTCCTAGCATTCCATGTTTGTGTTGTTTGGATGATTTGGCATCATTTCATACCTGATTTCAGAGCATATAGTGTTGTCACACTTCCATGTTTGTCACTTCTTAACCATGTTTGAGAGTTGTGCTCTTATGCTTAATTGATAGGCCAATGCATGAGCATGCATTTTCTTGCTTTCATGCCATCATTTCAGAGCATTTTGGCCACTGTTTTGGCATGATTTAGGTCTGTCCATATTCGGTTTAAGTCCATTGATCATTGTGTTGCATGCCTATTGAGAGATGCTCTTCATTAACTTTGATGCCTTAGCTTCTAAGCTTGCCATGCATGCATTGTTTGCATGATAGAATCTTGAATCTTGCGAATACCATTTTAGCATTGGTAGAATAGCATGTTGTTTGCATGCTTATGTTGCATTGCATTGTGTTTGCATGCTTATGTCGCATTGCATTGTGTTTGCATGCTTATGTTGCATTGCATTGTGTT